GAGTATTCTTGGCTGTAAGTTTTTTCCTTTTAGCACTTTAAATATATTGTGCCACTCTCTTCTAGCCTATAATGTTTCTGCTGAGAAGTCAGCTGATAGCCTTATGGGGTTTCCTTTGTATGTAAGTTGTCTTTCTCTTGTGGCTTTTAGGATTCTCTCTTTATCTTTAATTCTGGACACTTTGATTATGATGTGTGTTGGTGTGGGCCTCTTTGGGTTTATCTTGTTTGGTGCACTCTGTGCTTCCTGTACCTGGACGTCTCTTTCCTTCCTTTGGTTAGGGGAGTTTTCATCTATTATTTCTTGAAATGGATTCTCTGCCCCTTTGTCTCACTCTTCTCCTTCCGGGACACCTATAACACGGATGTTAGTGCACTTGATGTTGTCCCAGATGTCCCTTAGACTGTCCTCACTCTTTTTAATTCATTTCTCTTTTATCTTTTCAGCTTGGGTAATTTCTTCTAGTCTTTCTTCCCGCTTGCAGATCCGTTCTTCTGTAACCTCTACTCTGCTTTTGAGTCCCTTTAGTGAATTTTTCATTTCCAGTATTATATTCTTCATTTCTGATTGGTTATTTTATATCTCCCATTTCTTTGTTGACATTCTCACTGAGTTCATCTATTCTTCTCCCCCAGATCAGTGAGCATCCTTAACACTCTTTGTTTGAACTCTCTGCTGGGTAGGTTGCTCATTTCTGTTTCACTTAGTTCCTTTTCTGGGTATTTTTCCTGTTCCCTACTTGGAATGTATTCCTTTGCCTCCTCATTTTGCGTCTTTCCCTGTGCTTGTGTTTACATATTAGGTAGGTCAGCTATGTCTCCTGCTCTTGGAGAAGTGACCTTATATAAGTGATGCCTTATGAGGTCCTGCAGTGTGCTTCCCTCAGTTCTGATTTTTCTAGAAGTGACCCCTATGTGGGCTATGTGTCTCCTTCTGTTGTGGCCTATTTGCTCTCCCTGTAGGCGCCCAGGGAGGCCAAGTTATGCCCCTGGCCAGATGTTGTAATGCTGAGCTGCTTGTAGTTGTTGTTGACCATTCAGTCTCTTTATCAGGTGTGGGGAGCCCCAGCAGAGTTGGCTGTAAGTTCTAATACCACATTTGTGTTGCAGTATTTCTTTTAAGTGAGTAGGCCCCCAG